GGCTGCACACCACATGGCACATCACATTGGCAGCAGTGCAATCAACGTGACAAGCCTCGCGGCCTGCCGCAAGTGGCAGCACCGGCATAATCACAATGCACAGTGCGGCCTCCTGCTGCGAGCAACAGCAGTGGCACAATTGGCATGATGAGGCTCACAGTCTCTTGGTGCGAGCAATGGCACCGGCATGATTGGCACATGCAGCCGCAGTGCAATGCATCATGTGGCGTGCAGCCGCAAGCAGCCGCAGAAAAACTGAAGCAGCGGTGCAACAGGTGTCGGGGCATGGGAATTCCTAAGGTAAGTGGGTACAATAATCCCCCCAAAATAAGACCTGGTGCCCCTTTTGGAGGCAAAGAAAATATAAGACTGGGTCTTATTTTCAAGGAAACACGGTATCTGTACATTGCTAAATGTTTTGTGCCTGTCTATCTGTAACCTTCATAGGGCAACAAATTTTGAACAAACGTATCTCAAATGGGTTAACCTATAAAATGCCAGGACCTGTTACTCTCATGGGTATGAAAAATGTGAAATCTATGGCTGCTTCACTGTTGCTTGTTATTGCTGCTTCAGTGCCACTTCACTGCAGCAGTCAGCCATGGACACCTGATTGTCATTTCCAATGCTCCCTGACATTGTACCACAGTCAAGGCTTTCTGGTGTTTAGCTACTCCAAGTTTTGTTAAGTATGTCCAGGGCTTTTTTTCTCATAGAATTCCAGCACCTTTTTTTTTTTTTTTTTTTTTAGAAAAAAAGCACTGAGTATGTCATACAGGAGACAAAGTACTCAGGCTTCCTGGCAATAAAGGTTGGATCTGGTTAGATCTAGTTGTGTTCTGTGTCTGTTACATGCTGTTTGGCCTGATTGTACTCACTGCTGAGTAGAAGACCTGGAGAAAAATCCAAGGACCAAGTTTTAGTTTTCCATTGCCTGTTTCCATGTAGACTGAAAATCACACTAATGGTTAATGGGACATGGCCAAAGGGGAAAAATAGATAGTTGAATATGGTCACCTACACTGTAACCTCTACTGTGATGAGCCTGTGTCTAGTCCAGGCTGGCATTAGAAACACATTGTGGGACTTGAAAGGCCATTCTTAGAAATTTGGATTGAAAATTAAAAAAGGAGTCTCAACTGGACACCACTCAGAAATTGTGCCTAGCTTTGAGTGCTACAGGTATATAGCGGCCACTTCTTGTGTTGAGGAATTTAAGGATGGTAGATGAGCTCTTCCGTGCATCTTCAGCAACTTATTTCCTATGGGGCTTCCTACTGCTGGCAGAATGTAGGACTATTCCCAAGTCTTTGAAACAGGAGACCTGCTGGAGTCCTTATTTATGGGAAGTTGGCAGAGAGCATAAGCAATGGAGGAACTGGCAGGGAAGGTTGCAAGCTGCTTGGGTAAGTCTCCCTCACCACACAACCTCACCAACTCCTCTGCTCTTATGCACGCTTCTGCCCCTATGCAGCTTCCAGCCCATGTTTCACCTCAGTTTGCGCTTCCCAATCTGTGCCGCACCTCTTGTGCATCTCCACACACTCTTCCTGACCCATGCTGCACCTCTTGCAAATCTATCCTGACCTACACTGTGCCCCTATGCACATTCCTCAGACCCGCAGACTTCTCATTGGTAAGGCATGTGGAGGTACATGAGAGCTATCATGTCAGTTGGGAAGATCCAAGGGGTGTGTGAGAGACACTGTGGAGGTCCAGGTGAGTGTGCAAGAGTGCACAAGAGGTACCATGCAAATCAGGGAGGTTGCAAAGAGGTGTAGCATGGATTATGGAGGCTACAAGAGGTGTAGTATAGTAAGGGTCACAGAAGGTATGTAACTGTTCTTCTTGTGCCATATCCGTTATCGGACGTTGGCGATCATTTTGGCGATCCTGTTTTTATCAGCAGTCGCACGAAAAAGTGCTGCTGAGTTTTGTCCAAACCAGTCCCTTAGATTTTGAAGCCATGATGTTCTTCTTCTGCCTGGAACTTGTTTGCCTTCAATCTTTCCCTGGAGGATTAAATGGAGTATGCCATATTTTTCTGGGTGTCGCATCACATGTCCGAAATATTCTAATTTTCATTTTTTAATTGTTTTGATGATTTCCCTTGGCTTTCCCAGGCGGCCTATCACCTCCTCATTTCTGATCTTGTCAACCCATCTTATACATAACAGCCGCCTGTAAATCCACATTTCAAATGCTTCTAGTCTCTTCAGGTGGCCTTCTGTCAGAGATCAACTCTCTACTCCATAGAACAGGATAGAAAAAATATAGCATCTGACAAGCCTGATTTTCAGTCTTAGGCTTATGTCGTGACTGCAGAAGACTTTTTTCATTTTGCAGAATGCTGTTTGAGCTTTCTCTATCCTTGTCTTTACTTCAGTGGTCATATCCCAGCTTTCATGTAGATTAGAACCGAGGTGCATGATCCTTTCAACTTTTTCTAGTGGTATTCTTTCTGAATTTATTGGTGGTAAATTAACGGGTTGTTTGCTGACAACCATGATCTTGGTTTTTGAGGTGTTAAGCTTCAAGCTGTATTTTTCAGATATTTCTGTGACTCTGTTGATGAGGAACTGAAGGTCTTCATGCTTACTGGCAAGCAGAACTGTATCGTCAGCATATCTTAACTTGTTGATCCAAACACTGTTTACTTTGATGCCAGTATCAATATTCTCCAGTGCCTCGTTGAAGATTGACTCAGAGTAGATATTGAACAACAATGGAGACAGAATACATCCGTGTCTGACCCCTCTTCTTATTTCTGCATCAGCTGAGTATTTTTGGCCTAGTCTCACATTTGCTACCTGATGCCAATACAGATTCTTTATGATTTGGATGTCTTTGTCATCTAGTCCCCCTTATTTCAGGATTTCTAATAGTTTGCTATGTCTTATTTTATCAAAAGCTTTTTCAAAATCAATGAAGCACATGTAAACATTGTGATTGACATCTCTACAAAGCTGTACAAGAACTTGAACGCTGAATAACACATCTCGTGTACCAAGATTGTTTCTGAAACCAAATTGTGTGTTACCTAGACGCTCTTCAATTTTGTTGTATATTCTTGTGTGAATTATTCTCAGGAATATTTTCAGGGCATGATTCATTAAGCTTATTGTTCTGTATTTGGTACACTTCTTTGCATTTATTTATTTAACTGTTAGATAAGTAAATACAGTAATGCTGAAACAATGATCCAACAAGTGATAGATTGGTGAAAAATAGTTGTTTCATATGGTTCCTAATATTTGTCTTGCTTCATTTGTGCACACTGCAATACAAAGTATTGTCATAAATGTATTGCCATATATATGTGTGCGTGTGTGTATATATATATAATTTATTATTTATAATATGTGTGTGTGTGTGTGTGTGTGTGTGTGTATTCAATAATATACAATCTTCAAACTCCGGGAGGAATATAAATCAGCTGTTTATTGTTAAAAAAATAAAAAAAATAAAAGCAACTATTTACAATACTAAAACAAACTTAGCTTTCGCTGATCCACTGTCAGCGTCTTCAGAGTGAAGTGTTGGGGGTGGAGAGATCTCTTATAAGCCTTGATAACCTAGTTTCTTACTCATTGACTGTGTGATAGGGCCATTCGTCCTGACTGACCGTAATTGCCTTAACTGTCCCGCCTCCCCTTGTTTGCACTCCAGTTCCACAACTTCTCTCCCTCCTCTCCTTGTCCATCTTCTCCTTCCTGGTGTTGTTGCCGTTGGTGTGCCTTCTAGCCACTCTCCCGCACTCACTTTGGGCTGTGGGTCAGCAGGCAGCCCAGCTGATTGCAGACAGATGGGACGGAAGGACAGGGCAGGGCTGCATGCACACACACTCAGACATGAGGGGAAACTGGGGAAAATAGAACTCATGATGACAAACAGTGGAAGACAGGAGCAACAGGCAGATAAATGGAATGGAAGAGAGGGGAACAGCAGCGAAAAGACACCTGGAATATTGGATCCGGACCCGCGGCCCAAAGTGATACATATGTATATGTATATGTGTGTGTGTGTGTGTTGAGAAAAATAGTCAAACACCGGGATAAAAATAAAAACAATTGTTTAATAAACTAATAACTGTTTGATAAACTTAGCTTTCGTCGGCTAATTGCTGACGTCGTCAGAGTGGAATGCCGGAGGTCCGAAAGCCTGCTTATAAGACAGGCAGTTTGTGCGATCTGCTCATAGAACGCGTTACTGGTCTACCTGCCCCAGTTGACCGTATTGCTTCTAATAGTCTCACATCCGTCTGTATACTCGTAAGCTCGGGGATCATCGCCTCTCTTGTTGCTCTCTTTGCCCGCCTTGGACGTATCTGGGTACACATTGCTATAGGATGGTCCCCCAGTACCTCCTGTCCTGTGGCCACCCCCCTGTTGTGAGTGTGGCACCCCGCCTCCCATCATTGGCTCCTGTACGAATCATGCTGGGGATTTCTCCCCTTTGCCGGTCGTGGTTCTTTGCTGTTACATGAGACAGTGGTTCTGGTCTTGCGCAGGCTGTGCCTGTTGCACTCATTGTGAGTTGTTACGCTGTTGTTCCCACTTCCTTAGTGCCGTATAAGCAGGCAGTAACTCTATGTGGCGATTAATTGAGTGCTCATCCGACAGCCAAGCCTCCTTCAGTAACAGGCCGCCCTTGGTGACATCTTGGGCGATGGCCTCTGCCCTGGCAAGGTTGAACATGTGATTGTTGCTGGCCATATGGACTCTTATAAGCAGGCTTTTGAATCTCCGGCATTCCACTCTGACGACGTCGGCAGTTAGCCAATGAAAGCTAAGTTTATCAGTTGTTAGTTTATTAAACAGTTGTTTTTATATTTATTCCGGTGTTCGACTATTTTTCTACACACACACACACTTCCTCCCATATTTGGGCTGACTGGGTGCATAAAAAAACACACACTCAAGACATATATATATATATAGTCTTTCCTGAAAAAACACTTTTCTCTGGTTCTCTAAACTTAATTGCATTGATGGTTTCAGGTATTCCAAAATTAATTACTTCTGATATGATTAAAAGAGGAGCCGCAGTGATTGATATTGGTATCAACCATATTCATGATCCTGTCACTGGAAAGACAAAATTAGTAGGAGATGTAGACTTTGAAGGTAAGCCAAATTCCTATGTTCTTAGAAGTGCAAAGTTTTTTTTATTAAAGAAATAAATCATCAGTCTTGAGCTTTATTTCCAGAGGAAGTAATTAATTAAGTAAATGCTTAACACTAAATATAATTAAAATTTAATTGAAAGTTCCATTCCCTCCCCCATTTTTCATAAGTCTAAGCCAGGAGTGGGGAACTTTGGCCCTTTTATGACTTGTGGACTTCAACTCCCAGAATTCCTGAGCCATCCATGCTGGCTCAGGAATTCTGGGAGCTGAAGTTCACAAGTCATAAAAAGGCCATAGCTCCCCACCCCTGGCCTTTCAACCTGTGAATAAAGGTTCCTCTGCCTGTTTATGGATATATATTTTAGAATTTATTTTGGAATCAAGACATTATTTATATAAATTGTTTATCTCCATTAATTACTTTTAATTATAGATTAATAGTTCTTAATTTAGCAAACTTCTCTTACATAATCTGATATTTAATGATATACCGGTAGTCCATGACTTACAACCACAACTGAGCCCAAAATTTCTGTTGCTAAGTGAGACATTTGTTAAGTGAGTTTTGCCCCATTTTACAATCTTTCTTGCCATAGTTGTTAAGTGAATCATTGCAATTGTTAAGTTAGTAACCTGGTTGTTAAGTGAATCTGGCTTTTCCATTGACTTTGATCCCAGGACATTGCAATCATCATAAATATGTTGCCAAGCATCTGACTCATGGCCATAAATATGAAAAATGATCATAAGTCACTTTTTTTTCAGTGCTGTTGTAACTTTGAATGGTCACTAAATGAACTGTTGTAATTTTATTACCTGTATAAACTTTGTGATGTCCTAGGCACCGAGAGTAGCTTTAACAGTGAGACGGGTGGCATATACGTTAATAAATAAATAATATAATTTATGGTTTACATATACAGTAGATAAACATGGTATACTGTTACCTGTATTTAGAAGTTATACTCAAAATCTGTAGCTATGAAAATAAAATATATAATTGAAAGTCATTTCTATTAAATTTATTATTTGGGTAAAATAATCCTGAAGTTATTAATACAGAATGTTAAAGGTGCCTTATGTTTGCAAAATCTTTAGTTTGAAAAACAAAATAATGCTCTTATTAGGCTATTTTTGTGTAATTTTCTGAAATGATAAATCCAATTTGGGTCTTTAAGAACTTCTACTGTAAGAATGAAGATCTTCCTGTGCAGAGGATTCTGTTTATTAAGGATGAATTTCACTTCTTTTGGAAATTGAAAGCACTGAAATTTCTGAGGGCATTACAAAATGATAATATTACAGGGTAAAATTCTTCAATAGAACAAGGCAGTTTTTCAGAACTCTTGAGACATATGATCTGAAATTAAATATGAAGCACCCATGCTAAGTTGTATTTAGAGAAAAGAGATAATACAATCTAAAATAGATGCTTGAGTACCTAAACATGGTAGATGGCCCTACTTCCCTGGTGTCAGAGAAATGTCTAATTTGGATAACAGTTTAATTTGTTAAAATGTTATCTGTCAGATCAATTTCTAATGATATAATTAGTAATACAGATTGGAGGTCTTCCAAGTCCCCCCCCCACCCTTATGAATGTAGGTAAGGAAGCCATAAGTTTGGGGGGAATTATGTTTACTGAAGGAAGAAGAACTCAAGTGATAGAAACTATATTTTAAAAATTGTGTCATTCCATCAATTCTGTTGGTGCCTAATAAAATGGCAATGGCTGTATTTTTATCCTATACCAACACATTTGTTTGGTTATCATTTTGATTGAGCAATGTTTTTGAAATTTAATGAAAATTCCTCATTTTCTGCAATTTTTAAAATAAGCAAGTATAGCTTTGGTTTCAGGAAACTCAGCAAATAATATGTTGTTCCCAGTGTCATTGAAGGAACAGAAGCTGCAATTTATTTCAGATGTTATTATAATTTTAAAAAAACAATTCAACCAATTCCTGGGCATGTGAATAACAAATGAGCCTTGGCCCCTTTTTTTAAATACAAAAGCAGTAGGAATCACCATGTTGCTTGTTTGACCCCCACTGTGGATACTTCTGGAAACAGATTATACATGGTGACATGAATGTAAATCTGCATACATTAACCCTGGGATTAATAAATGCCTATTCAGCCAGTGGAAGAAACCATCACATTCTGATAAAGGAACATTGATGTGTCTGAATCAGGTTTGAGTTGACTTGTTATTTAATATAATTTAAATTGGTTTCTATTAATTCCTATTTTATTTGAGACTATTTTTAACAAGAATCATATGCTGGAACTGGAAAACTATTTTGTGTTTTTGATTTATGTGTCTTTTTTTTAAAAAAAAACACCTGCTATTCAGCTAGATCTAGATGGTCCCAAAAAGAACCTATGGAAATATTGTTGTCCATTGTTGGGGGTGGATTGCATTTGAGTACACATATTTTAATACATGTTTTTTACACAGTTTTTCCTTTTTTTAAAAAAAATATCAGAAGTAAAGAAGAAAGCTAGTTTTATCACCCCTGTCCCAGGAGGTGTGGGACCAATGACAGTTGCCATGCTCCTGAAGAATACCTTAATTGCTGCAAAGAAATTGATTTACTAAAATGTATAAATTGAAGTAATTCTATAGTTATATAAACATTTATTTTTGTTACAAATGTATTTATTAAAATGTGTTTATGTTAGATTACTGAGAAAAGATTTATTTCTAAATCTGTTACAAAAATGTATACTTGCAATGGACTAACTTAACTGATTTAAGGTTGGAATTGATGTAACTTCTATGCATAATCCCTGTCTAAATGTTTGGTTCCTGTTGGAATTGTGCTGTTTTTCAAACATATATTAACAAGTGGATTTGAAATGAAACCAAAACCTGGGTCTGAGTTTTAGATGTATAATGCAACTCCAGCAGACAATAATAAAGGGCTCATAATCCATTATGCACACAGGTGTGGGGACACTCAAATGAATGCTAAGAACTATGATAGATGCTTAACAGACATAAATCAGGAGTTTATCTCTGGAAACATGGTTTTGATGATAAATATATTATGTTCACAACTGCAAAAAATTAAATAAATTGTGTACAAATTTTAAGATGCTTTTGATCTAATTCTCAGATGCATATTTATATAAAAAGGAAAATGTTATCCAAAAGTAATTATTGTGTTTCCAAGCAGTTTTCATCTACCTCTAGTTGATTTTTTTACAGCTGAGAACTAGACATTGACCAAGTAAGTTAACCCTTCTTAACTCACAGAAGCATAATTCCCTTAACAGAGCAAATGAGGTACAATAAGGTTTGATTAGCGTTATAGTCAGAATGAATATTTAAATAAGATACCTGTGATTGTTGCAAATAAAGCATGTTATCAAATATTTGATCATATGTTAGGAACCCAACTAGCCACTTAGCTACACTTTTTTATTCAGTTGCCAAAATAATGCTAAATTGGTTTCCTTCACATAAAAAATATAAACAAATATATTTAAAATCCTCCCAACTTTTCTTAGTTATCACAGTGATGCATTTATTGTCATTTATTCCTTTGTCATTGTTTACTTTATTGTTCTATTATTTTACTGCTGTTTACATGCTTTTCATTTTTCTTTCTTTTTTATTATTATAAGCTGCCTGGAGTAGCCCCACAGCAAGATAATGGCAAATAATAAAATAAAATAAAATAAAATAAAATAATAAAATAATAATAAAATAAAATAAAATAAAATAAATAAAATAAAATAAAATAAATAATAAAATAAAATAATAAAATAAAATAAAATAATAAAATAAAATAATAAAATAAAATAAAATAAAATAAATGTCGTTAGAATTTTTCAGAGTTGAGATGGAGGCTCTTAGTAAAGCTTATTTATCATTTTCCTGCATTTAGACAGATTTGGAATATTGAAAAAAATACTGCAAATAATGATAGGCAATATGCCAGATTATAAATTCCGAATTTGGAATGTAATAATTTTATGCAATAATATTGTAACTTTTTTTGTTAATTATAACATTTTATTATGTTATAAAATAAAATACAAAATACAAAAAAAGCAGATAGTAGGACCCAATGGGGAAGGAAAAGGGAAAAAGAAGTGAGGGGGAAGAGGGGAGAAAGACAAAAGAGCATTGACTTCCGACTTCCTCTGATGCAGTAGAATAAAGCATTAACATTGAATTTCCACTTTTTACTTTTCCATAGTAGTATAAACTAGCCATTTCTATAAGCCATTTCTATAACAACAAATCAATCTAATCAGTAAATCCCAAGATCAAAGTTTTCATTTTTTCCACCTCAAGCACAAAATCCAGAAGCAGTCTCCATGTGGAAACAAAAGTATTTATATTCTTTTCTTTAATCAAAACAGTCAGTTTAGCCATCTCTGCCAATTCCATCAACTTCTGTAGCCATTCATCCATAGTAGGGATCGAAATGTCCTTCCATTTTTGTGCATATAATAGTCGTGCTGCCGTTGACATATATAAAATCAGAGTTCCCCAAAAAATTTTCTAAGTCTTTTTTGATTATGTCCAGAAGAAAAATTTCTGGTTTCATCTTTATCTTTATCTTTCTGTAATAGGATATGAATCCTACTCTAATATTTCTTTTGCTTTATCACATGGTAAAAGGTCCCTTCTTTACATTTACATTTCCAGCATTCATTTGAAATATCTTTATACATTTTAGATAACTTATCTGGTGTTAAATACCAGTGGTACATCATCTTATAATTTTTTTCTTTTAAGTTATAATTCAGTATAAATTTTAAGCTTTTCGTCCACATATTCTCCCATTGTTCCAGCATCACATTATATCCAAAATTCCTTACCCACTGAATCATACAATGTTTTACATGTTCATTTTCCAAGTTCAATTTCAATAACATTTTATCAACCTTAGCAATAATACTTTCATCACTACCACCTAATAAAATTTCCAGTTCATTTTTAAC